AAGCCTTTTAGTTTAATATAATTTCCCTTATTTACATTTTGCTTTTGTTGCCTGACCTTTTGAGATTTTATTCCTAAAATCTTTTCCAGGACCAATGTCCTGAAGCATTTCCCATGTTTTCTTCTAGTAGTTTTATAGCTTCAGGTTTTACATTTAGGTTTTTAATCCATTTTGAGTTGATTTTTGTATAGAATAAGAAGAGAGGGTCTGGTTTTGTTCTTCTGCATATGGATATCCAATTTTCCCCAGAACCATTTACGGAAGAGACTGTCCTTTCCCCAGTCAATGTCCTTGGCACCTTTCTCAAAAGTCAGCTGGCTGTAGACACATGGATTAATTTCTGGGTTCTTTGTTCTGTTCCACTGGTCTATGTGTCTGGTCGTATGCCAGTACCATACTGTTTTGGTTAATATAGCTTTGTAGTACATTTTGAAGTCTGGTAGTGTGATGCATCTAGCTTTGTTCTTTTTGCTTAGTGTTGCTTTGGCTATTTTGGGTCTTTCATGGTTCCATGCAAATTTTAGAATTTTTTTTCTATTTCTGTGAAGAATGTCATTGGTATTTTGATAGAGAGTGCATTGAATTTGTTGATCACCTTGGGTGGTATGATCATTTTAACAACATTAATTTTTCTAGTCTATGAAGATGGGATGTCATTCTATTTTTTGGTGTCTTCAATTTCTTTCATCATTGTTTTTTGGTGTTTTTTAAGTTTTCCTTATAGAGAGCCTTCACCTTCTTGTTTAAATGTACTCCTAGATATTTTATTTTTTGTGATTTTTGCCAGTGGGAATACTTCCTTGATTTCTTTTCCAGCTAGTCCATTGTTCTTACATAGAAACACTACCAATTTTTGTAAGTTGATATTTGTATCCTGCAACTTTACTAGTTTTAATAGTTTTTTTAATAGAGTCTAAGTTTTTCTGTATATAAAATCATGTCATCTGCAAACGGGCAATATGACTTTCTCCTTTCTAATTTGAATGCCCTTCATTTTTTTTTCTCTTCCCTAACTGCTCAGGCTAAGACTTTGCTATTAATACGTTGAATAAGAGTGATGAGAGTGGGCTTCCTTGACCTTTTCCAGTTCAGTATAATGGTAGCTGTGAGTTTGTCTTATATGGCTTTTACTATGTTGATATACTTCCTTCTATGCCTAATTTATTAAGAGTTTTTATCATGAGGGATATTGAATTTTATCAAATGCTTTTTCTGAATCTTTTAATATGATCATATGGTGTTTGTCCTTCATTCTGTTGTGATGTATCACATTATTTGTGTAGGTTGAATCATCCTTACATCCTTAGGATAAATCCACTTGATTATAGTGTTTGACCTTTTTGACATGCTATTGAATTTGGTTTACAATATCTTGTTGAGGATTTTTGCATTTATTTTCATCAGAGATATTGTTCTGTATTTTTTTATGTTGTATTTTTATCTGGTTTTGGTATCAGGGTTATGCTGGCCTTGTAAAATGAGTTTGGCAGAGTTCGCTCCCCTTCAATATTTTTGAATAGTTTGAGAAGAATTTTAAAGAATATTGATTCATTAAAAGTTTGGTAGAATTCAGCAGTGAAGGCATCTGTTCCTAGACTTTCCTTTCTTGATTTCATTACCGATTCAATCTCATTACTCATTATTGATCTGTTCAGGTTTTCTATTTCTTCTTGGTTCAATCTTGATAGGTTGTATGTGTCAATAAATTTACCCATTTTCTCTAGGTTTTCAAATTGATTAGTTTATAATTGTTTATAATAGTCTCTGATGATCCTTTGTATTTCTGCAGTATCAACTGTAATGTCTCCTTTTGTTTCTAATTTTATTTGGGTCTTCTGTCTTTTTTTCTTGGCCTACTTAATGCTTTGTCAATTATGTTTATCTTTTTGAAAAACCAACTTTTTGTTTCATTGATCTCTATTTTTTTAGTCTCAAAATGTCATTTATTTCTGCTTTTTTTTTTTCCTTTTTCTAATTTTGAGTTTGGTTTGTTCTTTTCTAGTTTCTTGAGGTGCATCATTAGCTTATTTGAAATCTTTCTACTTTTTCATGTAGGCATTTATTGCTATAAGCTTGCCTCTTGTTATACTTGCTATAAACTGCTATAAATATGGTTTTTGTTGTGTCCCATACATTTTGGTATGCTGTGTTTCTGTTTTCATTTGCTTCAAGGTTGTTGTTGTTGTTGTTTTGTTCATTTGTTTTTTTTTGTTTTGAGACAGGGTGTCATTCTGTCCCTCAGGCTGGAGTGCAGTGACATGATCACAGGTCACTGTGATTTCAACCTCCTGGGCTCAAGCAATCCTCTCACATTAGCCTCCCGAGTAGCTGGGACTGTAGGCATGGACCACCACACTTGGCTGATTTTTTCTATTTTTTGTAGAGACAAGGTTTTGCCATGTTGCCCAGGTGGGTCCTGAAACCCTGGGCTCAAGCAATCTGCCTGCCTCAGCCTCCCAAAGTGCTAGAAATACAGGCGTGAGGTATTTTTTACTTTCTCTCTTAATTTCTTTTTTAATCAATTGGTCACTCAGGAGCATGTTTGGTCTTCATATATTTGTATAGTTTTGGGTGTTCCTCGTTATTGATTTATACTTTTATTCCATTGTGGTCCGATAAAATAGTTCATATTTCAATTAAAAAAAATTTTAAGGTTTCTTTTTCATGTCCTAACATATGGCCAATCCTGGAGAATGTTTTATGTGCTGATGAAGAGAATGTGTATTCTGCAACTACTGTGAGATGTTCTTTAAATGTCTTGTAGGTCTATTTGGTCTATGGTACAGTTTAAATTTGAAACTTCTTTGTTGACTTTCTGTCTGGATGATCTGTCCAATGCTGAGTGGGGTGTTGAAGTCCCCAGCTGTTACTGTATTGGGGTCAGCCTCTCCCTTTAGATCTAATGATTTTTTTTTAATGTATCTGGGTGCTCTGGTATTAGGTGCATATATTTTTACACTTGTTATATTCTCTTGCTGAATTGATCCCCTTATTACTATACCATGTTATTCTTTGTAGTTTTTGACTTAAAGTCTGTTTTTTTTTTTCATGTAAATATAGCTACTCCTGCTTCCTTTAGGTTTTCATTGGTGTGGAATATCTCTTTTCATCCCATTGCTGTCAGTCTCTGTGTCTTTTCAGGTGAGGTGAGTTTCTGTGGGCAGCATATAGTTGGGTGTTTTAAATTTATTTAGCCAGTTTATATATTTTAATTGGGGAATTTAATTTGTTTACATTCAAGATTATTATTGATAATATCCTGAGCTTCTGCTCAAGTAATTTAGAATTCTCTGTATTTATCCGTCTTTTCCCAGTTAGGAGGTAGTAAGTTAGCCATATGACCTCAGTCCTCCGATGCATCTAAGAAAAGTTGCTGATTTTCAGTTTGTTCAGCTTTTTGCTTATTGTGTGGATTAGAGTGATGACTTTCAAATTCCTGACATTATCTTTTACAGAGACTTAAATATTAATGATTTTTAAAAAAATATTTTATGTTTATTAACACAGTTACCATTTCTGTTCTTTATTCTTTTGTGTAGATCCAGAGTTCCAGCTATCTGAAACTTCCCCTAAAATATCTTATAGTATAGGTCTACTTCTAATAAATGTTTTCAATATCTATACATCTGGAAAAGAAAGAAGTAAATATTTTAATTTTTATATTTTTATCTTTAGGTTTTTTTCTATTCCTGTAACAGATTATGTATTTTTATTTTTAGGAGTTGTGTTTAGTCTATTTAATATTGCCCATTTATTCTATTATGTTCATGCTTTGGTTTAAGTCCTTCAGTATGTTTATAATAACTATTTTAACATTCTTATTGGCTAGTTGTCTCCTTCACTTCTACATCTGCATCTATGACCAATATTTTTCTTGGTTATGAATGTTGTGAATTTTATATTGGTAAGTGCTGGAAATTTTGTATTTCTTTAAGGAGCTTTAGACTTCACTTTTTCAGGTAGTTAAATTACTACTGGATTAGTTTGATCTTTTCAATACTTGTGTTAGGTGCGGTGGCCCACACCTCTAATCTCAGCTACTCAGAAGGCTAAGCCAGGAGGATTGCCTAAGCTCAGAAGTTTGAGGCTGCAGTGAGTGTGATCTCTGGGAACTATTCAGTTTATAGCCCCTTAGATGTTTTTTTGCTGGCCTCCTGGAATTTTACCTTACTGATGCATGCCTTAGTACAGTCATGTGCCACATAACAACGTTTCAGTCAGCAGCAAACCGCATATGCAATGGTGGTTCCGTAAGATTAGAACACCATATTTTTACTGTTCTGTTCTATGTTTAGATATACAAATACATGCCATTATGTTACAGTTGCTTACTGTATTCAGTACAGTATCATGCTGTACAGATTTATAGCCTAGGACCAACAGACTATACCATATACACCATGTATATTTGTGTAAGTACACGTTGCGACGTTCACACAATGATGAAATCACCTAATAACACACTCCTTAGAATGCCTGACTAAGAATTCAATGAGCAATGCCTGCTGTATTTATCAGTAGAACCAAGAGAGCACCTCTGTGTATTTTTAAGACAGTCATTCACCTTTTCCATTCATCTTCCTCCTCTGCTCACGAACTCCAGTCACTTAAGTCTTCCCTAATGCTGATGTCCTCAACTCAGGAATACTGTTGAGGAGATCTTAATGTTGGTTTCCTCAACTCGGCAATACTGCAAAGCTCTGAGTTTGATCACACCTCCCTGCTCTGTAGTCTAGAAAGTGCCTCCAGGCAGACTGCTGAGGAAAAGGAGTCACCTTATTTATCTCTCTTCTCTCAGAGGCCACAGTCCTGCACAGTCCTAGCTATTGTACAATTTCCAAAAAATGGTTGTTTCATTAATTTTGTCCAGTTTTCTAGTTGTTTACAGCAGGTGGGTAAGTACAGTCTAAGTTATTCTATCCAGGTTATAAAAGTAGCCATTGACATCATTCAATTTGAAAATCAACGATTTTATAACGGTCCTTATTTTGGGAATACAGGGCGAGGAAAGAGATCGAATACCAGGAACTGATATTTCTTTTAACTGGAGGAGTAAGTCTTAAAAGTGCTGAGAAAAATCCTGATCCAACTTGGCTACAGGAAAAAAGCTGGGAGGAAATTTGTCGTGCAAGTGAATTTCCTGCCTTCAGGGGACTCAGGTAATTGTTTAAATTGATTATTTATCATTGAATGGCAATAGATAAACTTGTTCTTTAGTGATTTTTAAATGGTCCTATAGCTGTCTGGTGTCTACTCCTTGTTCAACAATCTTTTAAGTTTTTCCCAATAACAAGAATAATTCTTAAGCTTTTTTCTATTAGGCAACATTTTTGTGAACATATATGTGAATGGCGGGAAATCTATGACAGTAAAGAGCCATATAATGTCAAATTTCCAGCACCAATGGATAAGAACCTAAATGAACTACAGAAAATAATAATTCTTCGGTGCTTAAGACCTGATAAGGTAAAAGACCAATCTGTTCTATTTGGAGCTTAGATAATTTTCCATTTACTAAGTATTAGGCTTAAAGTTATTGTTATTTGATTCTTTAACTCTCATTTCAGATTGATTATCCAGCTTACAGTTCATTGAGCTCCTTGGATTTGGATCTGTGGGTTTATTGTTTTCCTCAGTTTGGGAATGTTTTTGGTTATTATTTCTTAAAGTATTGTTTCACCCCACCCAGGATTTATTTATTTATTTATTTATTTTTATTAGTACTTTCTTTTTTTTTTTTAATTGTACTTTAGGCTCTGGGGTACATGTGCAGATCATGCAGGGTTGTTGCATAGGTACTTACATGGCAAGGTGGTTTGTTACCTTCCTCCCCATCACCTATAGCTGGCATTTCTCCCCATGTTATCCCTCCCCAACCTCCCCATCCCCTGCTGTCCCTCCTCTAGCCCCCCACCAACAGACCCCAGTGTGTGATGCTCCCCTCCCTGTGTCCATGTGTTCTCATTGTTCAACACATGCCTATGAGTGAGAACATGTGGTGTTTGATTTTCTGTTGTGTCAGTTTGCTGAGAAGGATGGTTTCCAGATTCATCCATGTGATTGCTTAATATAATGCCATATAATATAATATAATGTAACTAATACTCTGTTAATTATTTTTTTAAGCTTTGGTATCTCCTTGCATCCGTTTGGGTAGTTTCCATTGCTGTCTTAACATTTGCTGATTTCTTCTTTTGTATTGTCTAGTTTCCTACAAATCCTATTTAATTTTTTAATTTTAGTAATTGTATATTTCATCTCTAAAAAATTGTTTGGTTCTTTTTGTATATGTTATTTCTCTTTTTACTCTGCTAATTTCTTTTAAATAGTTGAACATAGTTATAATAACTGTTTTAAAATTACTGACTGATTCCATAATTTCTGGATCTGTTTCTATTGACTGATTTTGCTCTTAGTTACACATGATATTTTCCTGCTTCTTGGCATGTCTAATAATGTTTGATTGGATATTAGACATTGTGACTATCACATTGTTGTCGAGTTAGATTTCATTTTCCTATAAAGATTGTTGAGTTCTGTCCTGCTAGTTCAGGGGTCAACAAATAACTGTGGGTCAAATTTAGCCCATGACCTTTTTGGTCCAGCCCATGAACTAAGAATGTTTTTTTGTGTGTGTGATTTTTTTTTTTTCTTGAGACAGAGTCTTGCTCTTGTTTCCTAAGCTGGAGTGCAGTGACGAGATCTTGGCTCACTGCAGCCTCTGCCTCCCAGGTTCAAGCGATTCTCCTGCTTCAGCCTCCTGAGTAGCTGGGACTACAGGAGCCTGCCAACATTCCCAGCTAATTATTGTATTTTTAGTAGAGACAGGGTTTCACCATATTGACCAGGCTGGTCTGGAACTCCTGACCTTGTGATCCACCTGCTTCGGCCTCCCAAAGTGCTGGGATTATAGGTATGAGCCACCATGCCTGGCCATATTTTTTATATTTTTAAAGAGTTGTGTTGGCTGGGCATAGTGGCTCATGCCTGTAATCCCAGCACTTTGGGAGGCCGAGGAGGACACATCACTTGAGGTCAGGAATTCAAGACCAGCCTGGCCAAGATGGTGAAAACCTGTCACTACTAAAAATACAAAACTTAGCCAGGCCTGATGGTACATGCCTGTAATCCCAGCTACTCAGGAGGCTGAGGAAGGAAAATCGCTTGAACCGGGGAGGTGGAGGTTGCAGTGAGCAGAGATCGCACCACTGCACTACAGCCTGGGTGACAGAGCGAGACTCCATCTCAAAAAAAAAAAAGTTGCTTCAAAAAGAACCTGCAGCCTGGCACAGTGGCTCACACCTGTAATCCCAGCACTTTGGGAAGTTTAGGCAGGTAGATCATGAGATCAGAGTTTGAGACCAGCATGGTCAACATGGTGAAACCCCATCTCTACCAAAAATATAAAAAATCAACTGGGTGTGGTGGCAGGCGCCTGTAATCCCAGAATTTTGGTAGGCTGAGGCAGGCGTATCATGAGGTCAGGATTTCAAGACCAGCCTGGCCAAAATGGTGAAACCCCATCTCTACTAAAAATACAAAAAATTAGCCAGCATGATTGTGGGCGCCCATAATCCCAGCTACTTGGGAGGCTGAGGCAGAGAATTGCTTGAACTGGGGAGGCAGATGCTGCAGTGAGCCGAGATTGTACCACTGCACTCCAGCCTGGGTGACGGAGCAAGACTCTGTCTCAAAAAAACAAAAAACATGCAACAGAAACTGTGTATGTCCCACAAAGCCTAAAATATTTCCTATCTGGCCATCTGTAGAAAGTTTGTCAACCTCTGTGGCTATGTAGTTAAATTACTGAAGTTTGAATTGTTCCTTTCAAATACTGTTTTTAAGATTTGGTAGGGCTGGTCTAGAATAGCCTTTATTCAATGCATAGTTTAGCTCTACCAAAGTGCCGCCCATCTGGGGCCTTTACTGAATGCTCCAAGTGATCACTAAGGACTCTCTTTGGCTGTTGGGAACCTGAATGAGTCCCAGCCTTCGTGAAACAGTGGTAGCTCCCCAGATCTCCTGCTTATAGCTCCTCAGACCTTCTTTGCTTGGCCTCATGCACACACACCATAGTGTTCAGCAAAGATTCAGAGGTATTGTGATGCAGATTTCCGAACTCTTCCTGGATAGTTCTGTGCTAATTAGAATTCTGCAACTTCCAGCAGCCTTGGCCTCTTTGTCATCTTTTTCTTGTTTTCCCACCTCAGCATCACTGCATTGCCCTGCCTTAATTACGCTCCCTGTTCCACAGTCTAGTATATCTCCAAGAAGAAAGCTGAGAGAATAGCATTCACTTTTTCTTTTTCTCGGTGATCACAGTCCTACACCACCTATTGCCTCGGTGCAAAAATGGTTGTTTCATTAATTTTGAATGTTTTTAAGATGTTTGTGGCAGTAGGATAAATCCAATCCCTATAACCACATCATAGCTAAAAGCAGAAGATAGCAGAACATTTTGTACCTGTCACAATTTTATTAGTTCAAACATGCACAGAAATCTTTCTAAAGACAAATAGGCTGATATCAATTTTCACAAACTTAAGAAAGGTGATTATAGTATTACAAAAGGATAATTTTATAATAGAAAACAAAAAACTATGTTCATACATCTAAACTTTGAGTAATGTTAAAAAGTTATTCATGACAATTGTTAAAGGAGGAAGGAAGACTTTGTTCAAGACTATCACAATAGGAAAGAGAGGTCGGGCTTAATTCCAGATACAGCAGAGACAGTTGGGGATTCATAGTCAAGGAGAAGGGTGTGGGGGAATTACTAAGAAGAGACATCAAGGGTAGGAGGAATTCTTTCTACCCTGACCTAACAGAATTCTTGCTGAAACAGGCCAGGGTGATGAGATATCACCTGGGTGAAGGCAGGGTATGAGGAATTTGATCAGTTATGGAGGGTGGTCACATGCAGAGGGTGGGGGACTCTCACTAAACTGACTAGTGGGATTCTTGCTACAACTGGGCCCATGGAAGACAAGGCCTCATAGAAGAAAGGGCTCAGAGGAGCCTGTCTAACTAAGATTTGTTTGAGGAAAGAATATTAGTAAGTCACTTCACCTACACCCTGAAAAATATGAAGGTGTTAAAAGTGATTGCAATAGTCCCTTCCTTTCTTTCTTCATTAAAAAAAAAATTAGTTTTAGTAAAGTCTCACAAGAAATATTATCTAATGCTCTGAGTAGATTTAAAGAGAGACCTACATAAATGTTTTACTCCATACCCTGCCTCCCAAAGACTTTTGCACATTGTTAAAAGTCACCTCATTCTTCCTGATAGTTGTGTGTGTATATGTGTCTGTGTATGTTTATTCTCCTCTCACTAGAGAGTCCCTTTAAGTCTCTGGAAGCCCCAAACAATGCTCTATTCATGATTTTGTCACCAGTAGCCTCCCTTGTTCATGGTAAACTGAGGACTTAATAGCTTTGCATCTGGGAACACTTGCCTATTTGCACTTTACAGAATGGCTCCCTGATGGGCAATAGAGATATTGTTTCAATACCATGTGTAGGGTTTTTGCTTTGTCTGCCATGCTTGAAAGCCTGTGCTTGTATAGCATAGCATGTACCCCATTAGAATGCGCAATATTTGTTGCTTATTGTTTAGGGTCTCCTAGGCTGTAAGCTTCTTGAGGTCAGGACTCATGTCTTATTTTGCTCTATATTGTCAGGATTGAGAGCAACGTCTGCCACATAGTAGAAGCTCAACAAGTGTCTATGAATTAAGCTGAATTCAATTCAACTAAATGGAATTCAAGCATATGTTATTCAGGCCTTCTAGTTGTTTCTCTCTGTTCTCCAGAGAAATAAAACAATAAGGGTGGGGAACTGATTGATTTTTCTGAAAGCAATTGGCTGGTGTGATTGTGGAGGCTGGTGAATCTGCTGGCAGGCTGGAAACTCAAGGAGGAGTTGATGGTGCAGCTCAAGTCCAAAGGCAATTTGGTGGCAAAATGTCCTCTTTTACAGGGAAAACAGGCTTTTTTCTTTCTGAAGGCTTCCAACTGATTGTATGAGGCTGACCTCATTATGGAGGACAATCTGCTTTATTCTAAGTCTACTGATTTAAATATTAGTCTCATCCAAAAATATCTTCACAGCAACATGTAGACTGCTATTTGACCAAATATCAGGATATCATGGCTTCACAGGCCATCTTTGGCTCATTTATATAACAATTCAATAGGTTAAAAATGGTATCTAAGTATAGTTATAATTTGTACTTTTCTTGTTATGAGTATTAGAGTGTAAATGAAGCTGCTGTAACAAAGGAACGCAAAGTATAGTGGTTTAAATCAAATAGAATTTCATTTCTCTCTCTCCTAACAGCTCAGAGGCAAATGATTAAGGGATGACAGGAAGGCTCAGCTCCTAAGATCACCCAGAAACTCAGGTTCTTTCATGCTTACAGTGTGGTCCCCATCAGCAAAATGGAAGCTGGCTTGTGAACGCTGTGTCTGTTGAAAAAAGAAAGAAAGTGTTGAAGGCAAATAGCTTCCTTAAAATGTAATCTGGAAGTTCCATACATAATTTCTACTTGAATCTCTCTGGCCAAAACTTAGTCACATGGCCACATTACCTGCAAGAAATGCCAGGAAAACTTGAGGTTCTGATACCAAACACAGGCAAAGAAGTGGGACAGATTGCAATCTCTGCTATAATGAGTGACACTGAGCATCCCTCATATGTTTAGGATCAATTTGTACTTCATTTTCTCTAAGCAGTTCATCTCCTTTGCCCATTTTTCTTTTGGATAATTGGTTTTGTCCTATAAATGTGTCTACTTTTTGTTTATTAGAGAAATTAGTGCTTTGTCTATAACGCTACATGCTTTTCTTAACCGTTAGACTCAAATTGTATTCTTTGTTGTTTTTCAATAACAAAGCTGTTAAGTGAAATAAAAGACTCTCTAAAGATCATATCTTTTCAACAGATAACCCCAGCTATAACAAACTATGTAACTGACAAACTTGGGAAAAAGTTTGTAGAGCCTCCACCATTTGATTTGACAAAGAGTTACTTGGATTCAAGTTGCACCATTCCCTTAATTTTTGTTCTATCTCCAGGAGCAGATCCTATGGCCAGTAAGTGCATATACTGTAAACTTTTAAGAAATTACAAATAAAACATCTTACTCAATACTCATTTCTTATATAAGTCAGGTAGTAAATCTGATATTTACAGAGAAATGTTACTAGAATTTTTCATGATAAAACATTTATGCATGAGACACATTTTAATAATTCTAGAGTAAGCAGTGTAACAATTTTTTGTGCCTCTCACAGGCCTGCTGAAATTTGCAAATGATAAATCTATGTCGGGAAATAAGTTTCAAGCTATTTCACTGGGACAGGGACAAGGACCAATTGCGACAAAAATGATTAAAGCAGCAATAGAAGAAGGAACTTGGGTGTGCCTACAGAATTGTCACCTTGCAGTCTCCTGGATGCCCATGTTGGAAAAAATATGTGAAGATTTTACCTCTGAAACCTGTAACTCATCCTTTAGACTTTGGCTGACGAGCTATCCATCTCCGAAAGTATGTTTATTTCCTATAGAATTCCATACATTTACTTAACTATCTGTATATCTTATTTGTTTTGTTTGTTTGTTTTGAGATGGAGTCTCTGTCTCCCAGGCTGGAGTGCAGTGGCACAATCTCAGCTCACTGCAACCTTCGCCTCCTGGGTTCAAGGGATTCTTCTGCCTCAGCCTCCCTAGTAGCTGGAGTTACAGGTGTATGCCACTATGCTCGGCTGATTTTTGTATTTTTAGTAGAGATGGGGTTTCACCATGTCGGCCAGGCTGGTCTCGAACATCTGACCTCAGGTGATCCACCCGCCTCAGCCTCCCAAAGGGCTGGGATTTCAGGCATGAGCCACCACACCCAGCCAGCAATCTGTATATCTTAATCAAGCTTTAGATGTGTAACCTTAAGAGGTTTTTAAAATATTTCTGGAGTCCTCCATTATGCCTATTTTTTAATCCACTGGCATATGCACTTTTAGAGCCTCCACTTGCTATCGTGTGTAATACTCTCCATTTATTTTGTCTTAGTTTCCAGTAACAATTCTACAGAATGGAGTAAAAATGACTAATGAACCTCCCACGGGTCTTCGGCTGAATCTTCTTCAATCATATCTCAGTGATCCAGTTTCTGATCCTGACTTTTTCAAGGGATGCCGTGGAAAGGAATTGGTAATATTCATCTTTCAGAACTTTATTTTTTGGTAGCATTTTAAAAAATTTATTTATTGTGCTTTAGATTCTGGGGTACATGTGCAGATCATGCAAAATTGTTGCATAGGTACATTCATGGCAAGGTGGTTTGTTGCCATCATCCCCCCCATCACCTATACCTGACATTTCTTCCCACGTTATCCTTCCCGCACCCTCCCTCCCACTAATCCTCCCATAGCCCCCACCAACGGACCCCAATGTGTAGTGCCCCCCTCCCTGTGTCCATGTGTTCTTATTGTTCAACACCCGCCTATGAGTGAGAACATGCTGTGTTTGATTTTCTGTTCTTGTGTCAGTTTGCTGAGAATGATGGTTTCCAGGTTCATCCATGTCCCTATAAAGGACACAAACCCATTTTTTATGGCTGCATGGTATTCCATGGTGTATATGTGCCACATTTTCTTTGCCCAGTCTATAATTGATGGGCATGTGGGTTGGTTCCAGGTCTTTGCTATTGTAAACAGTGTCACGTGAACATGTGTGTGCATGTGTCTTTATAATAGAACTATTTATAATCCTTTGGGTATATATCCAGTAATGGGATTGCTGGGTCAAGTGGAATTTCTATTTCTAGATCCTTGAGGAATCGCCACACTGTCTTCCACAATGGTTGAACTAATTTACATTTCCACCAACAGTGTAAAAGTGATGCCACTTCTCCATATCCTCTCCAACATCTGTTGTCTCCAGATTTTTTAATGATCGCCATTCTAACTGCTGTGAGATGGTATCTCAATGTAGTTTTGATTTGCATTTCTCTAATGGCCAGCGATGATGAGCATTTTTTCATATGTTTGTTGGCTTCATATATGTCTTCTTTTGAAAAGTGTCTGTTCATATCCTTCGCCCACTTTTGGATGGGTTTGTTTGTTTCTTGTAAATCTGTTTTAGTTCTTTGTAGATTCTGGATATTAGCCCTTTGTCAGATGGATAGATTGCAAAAATGCTTTCCCATTCTATTGGTTGCCAGTTTGCTCTAATGATAGTTTGTTTTGCTGTACAGAAGCTCTGAAGTTTAATTAGATCCCATTTGTCTATTTTAGCTTTTGTTGCCATTGCTTTTGGTGTTTTAGTCATGAAGTCCTTGCTTATGCCTATGTCCTGAATGGTTTTGCCTAGGTTTTCTTCTAGAGTTTTTATGGTGTTAGGTTTTATGTTTAAGTCCATCTGGAGTTAATTTTAATGTAAGATGTCAGGAAGGTGTCTAGTTTCTGCTTTTTGCACACTGCTAGCCAATTTTCCCAAGATCATTTATTAAACAGGGGATCCTTTCTCCATTGCTTGTTTTTGTCAGGTTTGTCAAAGATCAGATGGTTGTAGATGTGTGGTGTTGCTCCAGAGGCCTCTGTTCTGTTCCATCGGTTTATGTCTCTGTTTTGATACCAGTACCATGCTGTTTTGATTACTGTTGCCTTGTAGTATAGCTTGAAGTCTGACACCATGATTCTACCAGCTTTGTTCATTTTGCTTAGGATTGTTTTGGCTATGTGGGCCCCTTTTTGGCTCCACATGAAGTTTAAAGTGGTTTTTTCAAGTTCTGTGAAGAGGGTCATTGGTAGTTTCATGGGGATAGCATTAAATCTATAAATTACTTTGGATAGTATGGCCATTTTCACAATATTGATTCTTCCTAACTATGAGCTTGGAATGTTTTTCCATCTGTTTGTGTCTTCTCTTATTCCCTTAAGCAGTGGTTTGTAGTTCTCCTTAAAGAGGTCCTTTACCTCTTTTGTTAGTTGTATTCCTAGGTATTTTATTCTTCTTGTAGCAATTGTGAATGAGAGTTTGCTCTTGATTTGCCCCTGTTATTGGTGTATAGGAATACTTGTGATTTCTGCACGTTGATTTTGTATGCTGAGACTTCGCTGAAGTTGCTTATCAGCTTAAGGAGAGCTTGGGCTGAAATGATGGGGTCTTCTAAATGTATAATCATGTTGTCTGCAAATAGAGACAATTTGACTTCCTCCCTTCCTAACTGAATACCCTTTATTTTTCTTGCCTGATTGCTCTGGCTAAAACTTCCAATACTATATTGAATAAGAGTGGAGAGAGAGGGCATCCTTGTCTAGTGCCAGATTTCAAAGGGAATGCTTCCAGTTTTTGCCCATTCAGTATGATATTGGCAGTGGGTTTGTCGTAAATAGCTTTTATTTTGTGATAGGTTCCATGGATACCTAATTTATTGAGAGGTTTTAGCATAAAGCACTGTTGAATTTTGTCGAAGGCCTTCTCTGCATCTATTGAGATAATCATGTGGTTTTTGTCTTTGGTTCGATTTATATGGTGGATTATGTTTATAGACTTGCATATGTTGAACCAGCCTGGCATCCCTGGGATGAAGCCTACTTGATTGTGATGAATAAGCTTTTGATGTGCTGTTGCAATCGGTTTGCCAGTATTTTATTGAAGATTTTTGCATCGATGTTCATCATGGAGACTAGCCTGAAGTTTTCTTTTTTTTGTTGATCTCTGCCAGGTTTTTATATCAGGATAATGTTGGTCTCATAAAATGATTTGGGGAGGATTCCCTCTTTTTGTATAGTTTGGAATAATTTCAGATTGATTGGTACCAGCTCCTCTTTGTACATCTGGTAGAATTTGGCTGTGAACCCTTCTGGACCTGGAATTTTTGGTTGGTAGGCTGTTAATTGCTGCCTCAACTTCAGCCCTTGTTGTTGGTCTCTTCAGGGTTTCAGCCTCTTCCTGGTTTAGTTTTGGTAGGGTGCAAGTGTCCATGAATTTATCTATTTCTTCCAGGTTTACTGGTTTATGTGCATAGAGTAGTCTGTAGTAATCTCTGGTGGTGGCTTGTATTTCTGTGGGATTGGTAGTGATATCCCCTTTATCATTTTTTTATTACATCTATTTGATTCTTCTCTCTTTTCTTTTTTATTAATCTGGCCAGTGGTCTGTCTATTTTGTTGATCTTTTCAAAAAACCAGCTCCTGGATTTATTAATTTTTGAAGGATTTATTGTGTCTCTATCTCCTTCAGTTCTGCTCTGATCTTAGTTATTTCTTGTCTTCTGCTAACTTTTGAGTTTTTTTGATCTTGCTCCCCTAGCTCTTTCCATTTTGATGATAGAGTGTTGATTTTAGATCCTTCCTCATTTCTCATGTGGGCATTTTTTGCTATAAATTTCCCTCTAGACAGTGCTTTAAATGTGTCCCAGAGATTCTGCTCCATTGTGTCCTTGTTCTTGTTGGTTTCAAAGAACATCGCTATTTCTGCCTTCATTTCACTGTTTATCCAGTCAACATCCAGGAGCCAGTTGTTCAGTTTCCACGAAGTTGTGCAGTTTTGAGTTAGTTTCTTAATCCTAAGATCTAATTTGATTGCAGTGTAGTCTGAGAGACTGTTTGTTGTGATTTCCATTTTTTTGCATTTGCTGAGAAGTGATTTACTTCCAATTATGTGATCAATTTTAGAGTAAATGTGATGTAGTGGTGAGAAGAATGTATATTCTATGGCTGTGGGTGAAGAGTTCTGTAGATGTCTTTAGGTCCACTTGTTCCAGTTCTGCATTCAAGTCCTGTATATCCTTGTTGATTTTCTGTCTTGTTGATCTGTCTAATGTTGAGAGTAGAGTGTTAGTCTCCCATTATTATTGTGTGGGAGCCTAAGTCTCTTTGTAGGTCATCTAGAACTTGCTTTATGTATCTAGGCACTCCTGTATTGGGTGCATGCATATTTAGGATAGTTAGCTCTTCTTGTTGTTTTGATTCTGTCACCGTTATGTAGTGTCCTTCTTTGTCTCTTCTGATCTTTGTTGGTTTAAGGTCGATTTTATCCGAGACTAAAATTGCAACCCCTGCTTTTTTTTGCTCTCCATTTGCTTGGTAGATCTTCTTCCATCCCTTTATTTTGAGTCTATGTGTGTCTTTGTATATGAATGGGTCTCCTGAATACAGCACACCAATGGGTTTTGACTTTTTTTTTAATTGCATTTTAGGTTTTTGGGTACATGTGAAGAACATGCAAGATTGTTGCATAGGTACACACATGGCAGTGTGATTTCTGCCTTCCTCCCCTTCACCTATATCTGGCATTTCTCCCCATGCTATCTCTCCCCACCTCCCCACCCCCCCGTCCCTCCTCCATTTCCCCCCAACAGACCCCAGTGTATAGTGCTCCCCTCCCTGTGTCCATGTGTTCTCATTATTCAACACCTGCCTATGAGTGAGAACATGCGGTGTTTGATTTTCTGCTCTTGTGTCAGTTTGCTGAGAATGATGGTTTTCAAGTTCATCCATGTCCCTACAAAGGACACGAACTCATCATTTTTGATGGCTGCATAATATTCCATAGTGTATATGTGCCACATTTTCCCTCCAGTCTATCATCGATGGGCATTTGGGTTGGTTCCAGGTCTTTGCTATTGTAAACAGTGCTGCAATGAACATTCTTGTGCATGTGTCCTTATAGTAGAACGATTTATAAT